ATGTGGTGGTCATGTAGAGTAGCGAAACAATATTGGAAAAGAGTACATGCTGTGTTGCAACAAATATTGCTTTGTAAGGTGCCATTAACCCCAGAACTGTTTTTATTGAGTATGATACCTGATAACATAGATAAGACAAAGGAATATATAGTTATATACATAGTTACTGCAGCCAGAATTCTCTATGCCAAAAATTGGAAAAGTCTGACGAAACAAGAAGACCTTATAGAGAAGATACGGGAAACAGCGGAAATGGACATTTTATCAGAAGTGATGAAGGACTGTCCTTTACAAAAGGCAACAGAAAGATGGGACTTATTCTACAAATGGACTGAATCAACAGGCAGCGTATGAAGAGCATATATTGAAACGAGAACTTAAACCTGGAAGGCAGAAAATAGTAAAAAAGAATAATTTGGAATTTTGATATGTCAATAGTTATAGAATAGACGTTAGTATGTTAGTGTTTCTCCTCTTCCCTATTAACCTCAATTCCCCTTTTCCTTTTTGTCATCCCCTTGTTAAAATTAAAAAAAAAAAAAAAAGGAAATTCCATTAACTGGCAGGAAGCAGGAGAGGAGAAGGTGTGGTTAGAGAAGGATGGAAAGGCTGTCCATAATGAGAACACTGCCTAGTCTCCTGCTTTGTCACATGAGACTTTTAGATTTGTCCCAGCTGAATCTGTGACAGTTTGCATTGTTTCTAGCCTAAACGGACCTCACAGAGAATGAGAGACAAGGAAAAGGCCCTGGATTTTGGGCAATGAGTTCCGCAGGACTTATCCTGGAGGCTTTTTTGAGTGCCCCAAGGCAAACCCTCTCTCCCGTGTTTTCTGCTTTCTGGAGTCTGCTTTGATTTCACCACCACTATCAATTTTTTATCATTTCTGGCTCTTATGCAGCCTTCAAAAGGAGGTACTGAAAATTATACACGCGCACACACATACACACACACACAAACTACCAGCCACTGCCTTAGGATGTAGAACTGCCTCACTCACACAGTCCCTGATGCCATCAGTGGTTCTTGACACATTTCCATTTTCATCTTGCCCATCTCTTGCAGCATACATTGATGCATTTCCCACATGTACCTGTTTCTGCATTTGGGGATTGCCTGCATCTCTGTTTTTAGCAACACACCTGTCATTTTGATGCATAAAAAGAATTTTTATGTCATAGCATTGTAAAGTGCTCAGGAACAATTCCCATAACATCAAAAGAGCATTAATTCCCGGGGGATTAATGGGTTGGGAGAAGGGAAGGAGGTATCTGTGTGAATTCAGTTTTTTAAAAAATTTAATAGAAAAGGACTCTGAGAACAAAGGAGAGTGAAAGTGTTGTGTTTGAGATGGGAGGCACTGCAAAACATTTGTCCAGACTAATTACATCTCTTTAACCCGTGGCCTGTTTCAAAGGAAGATAGCAGAAGAGAGGGTATTCCAAGCAAACAATCTCTTATGACAAATGACAAGTTTCACACTGTAACAGCTTCTTGCTCTGTTATCAGAAATAGTTCAACCTAAAATGAGAGAATGCAGACATATCCTAAATCATCCATCCATCAAGTTCAACATCATGTCATACTACAGCCTATTTCCTTTGGCCTGTTCCTGCAATATACTATTTCTTTCTTCTGCTTTATCTACTGTCTTCCCTCCTGCCAAGTCAGATCATGGCCCTAGTCCATCACATTTAGTACCCATCCTTTGGGGAATAAGCAGTGCCTTACAGTATTATAGAGAGGCCAAAAGCCTTCACTAGTGATCTAAGTGCAATGATGGATAGGGCTGGGATTCTTTCTTGGCCCTTACACTGACCAACCAGTTCCCTGAAGCATTGCATTTGATGGATGAAGCTGGATCACTACTCATTCATCTGAAATACCTACAAATGCTATTCAAGGCTGCAAGATTGCCCAGAGGCATAGATTCTTTCATCCATACTTGAGCTGATCTAATCATGACCTCCTTCTCCATTGGCATGTTAAATATACCAATTTAACATTGGTATATAATTGTATGTGGGAAAGACCACATGTAGAACCAAGCAACCTTTTACCTGTATTTAGGCTTATATCCAGACGAGCTTTCCTTTCTTTGCCTACCTATAGTCTCTCAACATTTCATTTCATCTATACTCCTCTTTTCTCCTGAAGAGGACTCAAGATAGCTTACAATATTAAAACAAACAATGCAAAAGTTACAAATGCAATAAATTATTCAATATTAAAAACAATTTAAAAGTATCATATTAAAACACCTTAAACAATTTTTAAAACGTATTTAAAACATTAAAAGACATACACATTCTTAAAAAAAACTCTCATAGGTAGCCTATTACTGAGAAGAAGATCAAATCTGGAATGGCTGCTGTTTCTCCTTTCACTGACCATCAGCAGCACTTTTAAGCCAGAATGTATCAAGGTTATTTGGAGACAGCTTAGAGACAAACAACACCCTGTCGCCGTCCCTCCCTGCACAATGCCATAGCTGCTGCCCCTTTCCACATCTCCTCCAGTCCTATATAATTCCAATAGCTGCTCCCTGATTCCCCTCACTACTCTCATCTAAGGAACACACATCCTCCACCAGCAAAGAAAACAGTTAAAATGTTCCTTAGGTATGTAAAAGAAAGCAGGCAGTAAGTGAAAAGAATACTAGAATAAAATAAGCCTGAAGAGGGGCAGAATTTTAGAGTAGGTCTTACTTGCATGGCTCTGACATAAGAGGAAATGCAAGGAATGAAGGGCAGCCAGATGTCATCTTGGCAGGATGTTCTGCTAAGTGTTCAACACCTTCAGTCTCTT